GGGGGGGGTGGCTAGTAATAGTAGTAGTAGTAGTAGTAGTAGTAGTAGTACTAGCAGTAGCAGCACTTGCAGTAGCAGTAGCAGTAGCAGTAGCAGTAGCAATAGTAGTTGCAGTTGTACTTGTACTTGTGGTGTAGTGGTAGCTCAGATTTCCATGATCCCCCACGCCTATATTATGAAGAAGGCCGGTGGCCCATAGAAGCCTGAATTTGCATGTGGTCAAGCGATTGTCAAGAGCATGGTGCAGTCTGCAGCTGGTATGGCACAGTATTATAATGTAGGGCTGCATGAAATTTTGTGATACTGTAAAGGCATTTGCTTTACTGCTGTTTCGGGTGGATCCTTCTCTTGCCGTGCTTGAGGGCCCGTAAACCGGAGACCGCTGCCAGGGCACGTTTAGAGCTCCTACCGAGAGCCGCCCCAGCCGAAAAGAGTTAAACCTCAAACCCCAAAGGCCTGGAGCAAAGAACCCACAAATTCCCAAGCCCCAAGCACAAGACGCAACAAAACGCACCGAACCGCCAAACGCCTCATACGAGAAAGCTTCAAGCGAGAGACCTGATCCTGCGTGGGTGCAAGAAAAACTGAGCTTTTGCGTTTCGAACCTTGCAGCTGCCAGGCCCACTTCGATCGTAGATCCGAGTTTAGGGTTCAGGAAGTTTAGGGTAAGAGGTTGAGAGGTGTGCGGTAGAGGGTTGGTGGCGATCCGGTTTCGGGTATAGGATCGAATCACGGAGACCATGATCTTGACTGCGGTTGCCCTTAGTGCGGCCTAAACTGCCAATTCCTGCAGCTATCCTGAACACTTGAACCTACCAGCCCGAAATGTCCGTTGACACTGACACTCTTGAACCCCTGGCCTCGCAACAGTGCGGGGTCTGAATAGTATCTATTGGTATTCCCTTGTAGTCCTGTAGAGGGCTATATGAGTAGAGGGGTCTGAGTATTTTATGAAAGGGCTCCATGTGCTTATGTGAGTATAGATAAACAGACCCCGCAACCCTTTTCCGATGATTGAACCCTTATACATGTTGTTGCAATGACGCCCCAGCCCTTGCGCAGGCAGCATGACGTGATGAATGAGAGGAGCGTGATCAACGCCCTTCCATACAGAGATCCCTGGCCGTAATACTGCCAATGCTAACTTACTGTAATTAGGGATCCCCAAACCCTAAACCCTAAACCCTAAACCCTGAAACCCTACTACAATTTAAGGATAGCCTGTAACTACAATAAGGAACCCCCAAAGTAATATCGTTAATGGCTGAGGCCTGCAACAATGCACTCAAGGCTGATTTGCAGGGTTCGAGGTCTAGGGCTAGGATTTTGGGTTCGAGTGGTTGTCCTAGCAACAAGCATTTGAAGGTTCAGCGGTGGTGGGGCTCCCAAACCTCAGAACCGTCCAGCCTGCCACCGCACCAGGTACCCAAGCCACGTTCAGATGAATTCTAGAACACGAAGGCTCAACACTATCCTCAAATCCCCGATGTGCCACTAAGCCCTATTGGAGTCTTATTGTAAACTCCTGCAGAGCCTTCCTCACCACGAACCTAAACAAGCCCACCTTAATCCAAAACCCCAAGCTTGCCTAGCTCCGGAAAAGGAGCTAGTCAGCTTTTGATTTTGAGCTATATAGCCGGCAAAACGTCAACATGTCTAGCAACCCTCAAAGCCACATGTTGCAAGTATCCATGTATGCATAAATTTATGTGTGTGTATGTGTTAAAATCTGTGAACAAAAAACAAACAAACCAACAAACAAACAAATCTGTCTGTATATATATATATATATACGCAATGTGCACTTGGTACTAGTGTGTATACACAAGACATATACAGACAGATCGCTTCACAGTTCATCCACGCTTTCGAAGGCGTTGTTAGGAACCCAACAGAGCATGTAAACAAAAAACATAAGGTTGGCATACCCGCACGATCCTCTTGAAGTGAGCCAAAAAACGCAGGACCATGTCCCTCCCAACATGCTTGGGTGCTCTGAACCCGAAACCCAAAGGCTTATGTTCGGAGCTGGCCGGCTGCGCCAAACCCTAAGCAGAGGCCAAAACCTGAACCCCAAGCCCTAAACCCCAAGCCCTAAACCCCGAACCCGAAGCCCTAAAAACCCCCCCAAAAAAAACACAAGCCCTAAACCCTAAACCCTCAAGGTGAAGCCTGGCCCTAGAAACCCTGAACAAGCTTTTCAGGCACCTCTTCGGCTGAATATCCTGCAGCCGCTTGGGCTGCGGAACGCAGCCGCTCCTGAGCCGTGGGACGCGGTATGTGGCCGTTTGAATGGAGTTTGAAGCACCCTGGGTGCAGGGTTTAAGGTTTAGGGCTTTAAGGGTTTTGGGCTTAGGGTTTAGAGTCTAGGGTTTTCAGGGTTTTGGGTTTAGGAGGGACATATCGCGTAGTTAGTTTATCGAGTTATAAGTTATAAGTACTTCAGTGCCCTCAAGGGATCCTAATGGGGACCTCGATACTTTTCACGTACAAACAAAAAACTACTTACCAAGTCCGCCAGACCCTCCAAGTAGGTGAACTCTCGCGAACCTACATTGCCGGGGCTTCCCATTATAACTTCGTATAGATAAGCTGAGACAGGGTACAGTAGCCTTCTTGGGCTGCAGGTAGGTGCTGCTACCATCCCTGTGTAGGCGCTTGAGGGGTTTAGGGTTCAGAGTGTAGTCGTTAGGGATCGCCGGCACAGGGACTCACGGATTGAGGATGAAGCAACGAACCCTTAAGGATTTAGGGTTTAGGGTTTATAGGTTTAGGGTTTAGGGTTTAGGGTTTAGGGTTCAGGGTTTATGGGTTTGGGGCTGTATAGCTATCCCTAGAGCGGGCGCGAACACTTTGTTCCTACAGCCCTAATCCACGAAACCCTAAACCCTACTGCTCGAAACCCCTTCGTCAGAGTAGAGCCCTACACCCGAAACCGTCCTCCGAAGATGGTGCGGCAAGTCCATCAAGACCAACATCGAGCACCTGCCCCGAAGAATCAGTATACTCAAACGACGACAAAGACAAGTAGTATTGCTATGGTTGTATGACTACTAAGTTCAGCTATCATCATCATAACCAAAAAGGAGCCCATCAAAAATAACAACACAACAACAAGACAAATAAAACTGAAAACGATAATGATAATAGACCTGGTATTAATAGTAATCCGAGCACTCATAATCATAAAAAAGGGCCCAACAGATCACACAAACATGTTGCTTTCGATAACGTAGTGCACCAAACAATGGCTAACCACTCTTGTAAGTTTCTGGAGGGCTGGGGAGGGCGACGAGGATAATGTCGGGGCTTTGTAGGGTGCTGGGGCCATTATAGTGTGGTATAATGGTATTGGGACCATAAGGTGATGGCGTTACTTACTCATTATTCAAGCTCCCTTGTTAGAACCCTAAAACCTAGAACAAGGCTCTATACGAGCGACTAGTCAGCGTGTTCTCACAGTTTCAGCATGAAAGCAGGCACACCGCGCGCGAATTCGAATTCCTGGCTTACCCTTCAGAGTTCAGCCTTTTCCGAAACTGGACACTATTTGAAAAATCCCTTCCACGGAACCCCTACAACCCTAAACCCTAAACCTTAAACCCTAAACCTTAGACCCTAAACCCTAAACCCGACGCTTCAAACCCTCAGCCCTAACCCTAAACCTAAACCTTAAACTCTAAACCCTAAACCTTAAACCCTTCAAGGGTACTAGGGTTTAGGGTTCCTCTCAGGGTTAACGGTGTTTTTAGGGGTACTATAAGGTAGTAAAAAAGGATTTAAGGTTCTAGGATGTAGGGTGTAGAAGTTAGGGCTTAGGGCTCTTGTACGGATTCTAGGGTTTAGGGCACTATAAAGCTTCGGGTTTAGGGGCCAGGGTTCTAGGGCTCTAGGGCTCTAGGGGTTTCGGGATCAGGGTTTAGGCCTATACCGTACCCCTAAAGGAACCCTAAGACCCTAAGACTGCTATTTAGGATTTAGTGTCTAGGGTTTAGGGAGGATGGCGCCTCAAGGTCACAGTGTGACAGATCTGTTGCTCTCAGCCATCCTCGGTGCGGCGAGGGCTTCTGCCAGGGCTTCTTCTGGAGATTTCTGAGGGTTCAGGGTTTAATGTCAGCCTGAGTGGTCAGAATAGGGTCCTGGATAGACTATGCTACAATGATAACGAAGAACCAACAAGGCACCCAAAATCGTATTGAGAGTTTAGTCTTTAGGGTTCAGGTTTCAACTCCCCCAACTCCGGCACGCACTGCACGGTTCTGACGTTGGGAGCAAAGAGAATGTTGTCCCAGTGGTCGCGGGGGGTCCCAGCGGTCGAGGTCGTCACCGTCGTCACTGTCGTCGTGGTGTTCTTACTGTTTGGGCATACACTCTGGCACAATGAGGGTTTCATACAGGCTCGAGAATTAGGGGTTTCTAGGATTCCCAACTTCGGGTCCGTTGGGGAATGTAAGACTCCCGAAGATCAAAGCTGTACATAGCGACGGTCTCAACACTTCCAGGACCTGAGGCTCAAGCCCCCTTGTTTGAACGGCGGGTTTTGACGGTTCAGCGTCAAGTAGAGCTGATCCGCGAAGATCTGCACAGGGTCAGTCTGCAGATACTTCAAGGCTTTGCGCGTGCTACAGATGCAGCACCACCGTGAAGAGCTTTTCCTTCTCCGCCGGAGCGCAGGGGCTGCCTCGGTGTCTTCCGGCTCGACCCCGTTCTGCGCGGCCCCTTCTGCTGGTGGTCGTGGTGCTCCTTTGCAGCTCTTTCTGTGGGAGCCTCTGGCCTGCGTCGTCGAGAAGTTTTTGCCGCAGAGCACCATATCACTCCTGTTGGCCGGGTTTAGGGCTTTAGCGGCCTTTGGGCTTTGGGCTACTGGGAGGTTCATGGATAGTAACAAGGGGGTTACAAGTAGGGTAGCCGTTGGGGGACTTATGACCCAGTGTTACCCCGTGTATACCTAGCCATGCAAAACCCGATACCCCTAGAGAGACCGTAAAGGAAGCCTTAAAGGAAGCATTATGAACCTCCAAGTAAGGGGTCGAGGTGTGTGACGTTTGGAGCGTGAAGACTTCCCTCAACTAAGACTTTGAACCTGACAAACAGCAGGGTTTTGGGTTTAGGGTAAAACCCTAAACCCTAAACCCTAAACCCTAAACCCTCAACCCTAAACCCTAAACCCTAAACCCTACGTCCCCGAGTCCCTAACCCCAAGACGGGCAAAGCTGAAGACACTACGCCCTCAAACTCTCGATTCCACAACTTTACACCCTAAACCCTACACCCGGGTCCGAACTCCACACCCTAACACCCTAACACCCTAACACCCTGAACCCTAAACCCTAAGACCCTAAGCCCTGAACCCTAATCCACCCTGAACCCAAGCCCTCAGCCCTGAACCCTAAAACCCTGAACCCTAATCCCTAAACCATGAACCCTAATCCCTAGGGTTTAGGGTTTAGGGTCCTAATCCCTAAACCCTAAACCCTGATCCCTCATTCGACGACTTTCGTAGTTTTGCGGGCCTCCCCGATTTCAGCGGCTCGGACGGCCGGAAACCCGGCTTGTGGCAAATTCGACGATTCTCGTGCTCCATTAGGGTTTATGGTTTAGGGTTTAGAGTTTAGGGTTTAATATTTTCAGACGAGCACTGGCAGTAGTAACACTAGCAACAGCATGATGGACAAAGACGGCAACCATTAGCAGCAACACCCTCAGAAGCAACAACAAACCTAACTCCAAATGACGCGTCCCCCTCTCCGGTGAAACCTCCCAATTATACGAAATAATTATGAAACCGAATATCCCGAATAAATAATTTAATAATTTAATAATAATATGAAATCAAATATCTATTATAAGGCTATGTTCTGTCCGGCTGCCCATTTCGGTGGCGCGGACGACTGCAGAGACAGAAACTCAGAGCTGCTTACCCCTGTTTCGGAAATTATGGGTTATGACATGGGTGGTTGTCAAAATTATGGTCCCTTTTGGGGTCCTTATTATAATACGGCACCTATTATTTAGGGTACCCCAAAAGGGACCCTAATTTCGACAACTACCCACATAACAAGAGTTTAGGCTCTAAACCCAAGAAGGAGTAGGTCTGCGTGGTGCGCCGCCTCATGAACGGCGCGGGGCGGGAGAAAGGAAATCGGGCTGCCATAAGCAGGTCGAAGGGCACCCTAAACCCTAAACCCTAAACCCTAAACCCTAAACCCTAGACCCTAAACCCTAAACCCTAAACCCTAAACCCAACTTTCGCTGCAAGCACGCCGTCCGACGCAAGACTGACACAAGCACTGACGAGTAACCGTCCCCGGAAACCTAACAACTTCCGTGAAGAAGCGCGAAACCCCAAACCCTAAACCCTGAACCCTAAACCCTAAGCCCTGAACTTGAACCCTGAACCCTCAACCCTAAATGCTAAACCCTAAACCCCTAAATCCTAAACCCGAAACCCTGAACCCTAAACCCTAAACCCTAAACGCTAAATCCTCAACCCCTATGAACCCTCATCCCTAAAAGGTAAACCCTAAACCCCTAAACTCTAAACCCTAATCCCTAAACCCTAAACCCTAAACCCTGAACCCTAAACCCTGAACCCTAAACCCTGAACTCTAATCCGCAAACCCTAATCCCCAAACCCAAAGATCTGAACCCGAAACTTCCGAACATCCGAGCATCGCCGCACGTCTTCCACAACCGTCTTCGGCTGCTGAGATCGCAGGACCAGGCCTAAGAGCTCTCGTTGAGGTTTGGGGTTTAGGGTTTA